ATTTCGTCTACAAAACCGATTAGCCCAGTAAACTTTGGAGCTTCATCAGAATTACTCCAAGAAACCCATGCGTGCTTCTTTTCGCTCATACGAGATTTGTTTTGTGCAACATCGCTCCACAGAATGCAGTATAATGAATTGCGATCGCGCATCGACGTCTGGCTACGTAACCCCATTACAGCATTAAATGACTGGTATGCCCAGGCAGATAACTGGTCCGGCCTACTAATGTCCGCTATAAACTTCCTGGCTGGCGACTTTGTTGACCTACCTGAAGAGTATGTTCCATACATCGAGTTCAAACCACAGCAAAACATTTTCCAGTGGATTGGAGCAGGCCGGGACTCTGACACACGTCTGTCAACACTCTGTAATTTTTGGCTGCAACGCCAATATGAAGTGCCAGAACGGGCGCAAGCAGCTCTTTGCCCAAATCTTACAGAATCGTCAAGTGATGCAGCAGGAATATCTACTGCTGGTCTTAACTCCATAGAAATGGAGGAACCTGCCATTTCATACGATGGGGGCGTATCGCCGCCGCCGCCACCACCACCGAGATGCCCCACTACATGGACAGTGTGTGCGGCTACATCTGAAGAAGTCATTGAGTTCCAGCGCCAGGAGCGCGAGCGATTCGAGCAACCGCACCGGGCTTACACGTATAGAATGCACGGCTATGAAAGCGTTGTTGGCCCAGTCAAAGGAATATACACACAAATGTATGCCTTGACTAAAGCTCGTGGACATAGCATGATGATCGGCAATCGTCCCAATTTCGTCACCATACTAACACTTGTCCGCGACGCCACAGCCCGTTTGCCAAATGGTGAGGGTACACGCGCCGATATTGCTGAGCTATTGAAAAGCTCGCAGTACATAAATTTGAAGGAGGGCGAAAATGTGCTACAAACAACAGTGAGTGGGGCCTTAGATCGTATGCATACTGAACACGATCCTTGTGTACGCTATGATCCAAAACGTAAGATTTGGATTTATCTGCACCGTAATCGGAGTGCAGAGGACTTTGAGCGTATACACCAACAACATCAGGGTATAGGAAAATCTAAAAAAGTAGTGCATCGCAAACCTAAAACGAAAAATTCGACCGCAGCGAAAACCCCATCTGAAATAGCAGACAGCAACAATATAATCTCTACTGGCGACGAAGAGAATATTGCTGGATCTATAGCACCGACCAATAATATTTCCAAAGTTGGCACAGCCTTTTCCATGCCTGCATTGGTTCCAGCAAATCCAATTATAGTTAGTAGCCAAAGTGCCCAAACACAGCAGAAAGTAGCATCTGTCACATCAAAACCAGCAGTAACACGGTCTCTTCCGGTTCCGCCACTTAAGTACAACATACCACAGCAGAAGTCGTTGCTCAAGTCAACTATGCAGTCGCATCCTCAACGACAGCAGCACCAACAAACTAGTACTACTGTTGGCATTGACACTCAATTGCAACACAACCAGAGAATCCAACAGCGTGTAGCAAATATCAATAAGAACACTCCTACAGAAATAAATTCAGAAGAGGTCAAGGTCAACAAACAGTTAAATTTAACCATATCACCAACCAAATCCAACTTATCGGTATCTAATACTGGTGGTGGAAATTCTACGCCCATTATTGTAGCTACACCAACCGGTCTTCAAACAGTGCACGTTTCAAACGCCACTGTCCTGACAACATCAACGGCGAACTCCGTTCCCCAAGTAATGCAGCAGTCTTCCTTGACTGCAACTCTGGGTGGCAAGAAATTGGCTCTAAACAAACCAATATTCATCAATCAAATTAGGGGCCAATCAGCAACGGCTACTACATCAAAAACCAAAGTTTCTCCACAGCAAGTTTACAAGCAACAACTCAATGTAAGCCAGCAGCAACAACAAAAGCACGCACAAGGTTTTATAATTCCAATAAGCATGGCAAATTCCATTGCTGGCTCCGTGAGCGTAGAATGCCATAGCTCAGTACCAAAAGATTCAAATTTGCGAACATTGCCCGTTACCTCTGGATCTAGTGAAGGTACGACCACGATTTACATGGACAACGCACAGTTCATTAGTACCTCCGACAGCACGCCACAGGAACAAATACAACAAAAGCAAACACAAGCGAAAAACATTATACGATTAGTGCCAAGCATTTCCAGCGGTGCAGTGAAATCGATTTTACAGTCGACTTCAGCTGGCAGTGTTGTCAATGCCAGAAAACAGCCTGTGCATATTATTGGACACCGCGTTGTGACTGGTAATGCTGGCACAGGAGCAGGACGTGCTCAGCCACAGCAAGGTAAACAACTAGGTAACAGCGGTGGCCCGCAAACCTGTGGGGTTGCTTCGGTCGTGGCAGCAGGAAGCGGATCTACGCTCATAAAAATGTCGCCACAGACATTTGCAACCTTGCAACAAAAACAGGGCCAACATGTTGTTGTAAAGCAGTCTCCCGCCTCCTCATCGTCTGCAACAAACCAGCAACATCGTGTCTATGATAAGACCACATTTTTGAGTAAATTGAGACTTACGATTAATTACATAGTTAAATATTAAATTTATTTTGTATTTTTAGAAAACACTACGATTGTTACCCAGCCTGCCACTTCATCTTCACAAGCCATAAGCAAAACGATCTTTATGCAACAATCTCCCACCACTCCAGTCATTCATAAGTCAGGAAACGGTGCAACTTCCGTAGGCTCACAAACCTCATCTGTACCTATTACTTCAGCTGGAAAGGTGCACACCATTAGTGCCACCAATCTTTCTTCACAGCAACAACGTGTACTTCTCCAGAACTTAAAGCAACAGCAGCATATGCCACAAAGCTCGCAATTAAAATCAGT